GTTGATGTTTTTCCACTTCTGTTGTCGGGAGGTGTATCCCTTTTGGTTTTGTTTTTTTGTGTCTGTTTGTCTCCCGTCCTCCTGCGTAGAGGGGGTTTGGGTGTCTGTAGCAGGGTTGCTTTTCAATAAAAAAATGGTGTGTTACCTAAAAATGGTGTGTTCCCTAACCCTAACCCTAACCCTAACCCTAACCCTAACCCAGCTCCCTGGATTTAGAGGTGAGCTGGCTGTTTCTGTAGTAGGGTTTTCTTCCAATAAAAACTTGGTTTGTCATTCCTAAAACTTGGTTTGTCATTCCTAACCCTAACCCTAACCTTGACCCTGACCCTGACCCTAACCCTAACCCTAACCTAACCCTGTTTCCTAACCCTAACCCTCACCCTAACCCTGATCCTCATCCTCACCCTAACCCCCCAACCCTCACCCTCACCCCAACCCCAACCCCTAACCCCAACCCTCGTTTGGAAACGAGGTAGAAATTTGAAATCTCTTAACAGCTGTGGGCATTGTGGGAATGATGAGGGAGTGGCTTGGATGCCTGCTGGGGAGGTAGGGTTGGCTAGGAGGTGCTAGTGGTCAACCGGTGAGCCCTATTCCTCCTCCCTCAAGGGAGGGAGCCCTTGGGACACATTCCAGAATGGGGAATGGGGGTGGTTTTCCTCATGGTCTGTGGTTCCCTTTGTTCCATCTCCCCCCAGCAAAGTGGCAGGCAGTTCCACTGGTCAGCTGAGGAGGAGGAAGAGGAGGTGGTTTCCTGAGGGCCGTGAGGGGAGGGCAAATGGTGCAAGCCTATATTATAGGTGGGAAGGAAGGCAGGCAGGCAGGCAGAAGGATGGAAAAGCAAGGGAGGGAGGGAAGAAGAAAGATTTCTGACACTCCCTGCCAGTTTTCCACAAGCAAAGTCAATGGGAAGCCAGCAGGAAGTCGCTCATACTCCCACTGCTTTTTTGCCCTTGGTCATTATGTTTCTCTGTTTAGGTAAGGAACTATCTCTGAAACGATGACCCAAAGGTTGTCTAGTATTCATCTGTAATTGGCAAATACCAAATTTCACAGGCATCTAGTAGAAAAACATGACCTGGAAGCCTAGAGTCTATATTTTATGTACTATGGCATTAAAAATAGATAGTATGAACCTAAGTGAATCCTGATGGCTCCACTGAAGAACACTGGAAAGTTCCTCTCTTTTGGCACATTTCTCTAAACCAGTGCAAGCAAAATAATAGTAATAATAATCCTGATATGATGCCTCATGCTGATCAAGATTCTATAGGTCTCAACCTCAGATTCTCCCCGTTCCCCCATATTCCCTCCTTGGTAACACTTGCTTCATTGTTAAGTGGCTAGGTAAGTGGAAGGGCCTTCTTGAAGTCATAGGGAGCACCTTTATAAGTATTCTCAAAGAATTAGATTCCTGATAAGTTTAATCAGCTGGGGCTAGTTTTCATTTTATTTCAAGTGCAACTATTTCTCTTACCTTTAATTATTTAATAAATGTAATGAACTGTAATTTAGGGTGAATGTATTTTGCGTGGCCTGGGGAATGTCTTACCTAGATTGCCAGGTATATACTGTATACTTACCTAGTTCTTAAGAAAATTAAAGAGAAAGGGGCGAGGTTTAGATTTATTGAAATCTTAAGTACAGTCAGTAACATAAATCTACAGGACAAACCCATATGACAAAAAAACTGAATTCATGCAGGCTAGGCTAAAATGGGTAGCTTATGGTTTAGTATATGTGAATCAGGCTATCATATTAAGTGATAATATGGTTTGTTTGGGTACAATGCATTATGCAAATTCAGCAATCATATTGACATAGGATCATAGGGTATGTACACAGGTTCAAAGGATTTAATTGGAAGAGGCATAATGTTCTAGTTTTTCTCTTATTTTCTGTAACATAAATGTGAAAAGCAATTTCCCAGCTTCCAGCTAAAAGATTTATAACCTGCTGACTGCAAACAATTTTCCCCTCTAAGAACAAGAGCCTGTTGTAAAAGCGTAGGAGATACTGGGGGAGGGGGGAATCAAACTATTCACTCAAAGCCATTTTAACCTGAATCTCTTAGTAAGTTATTATATGAACTTGAGAGTGTATATGCACCTTTCTGTGTTGCTAAATATTAACAATACTCCAGTCTAGAGTTAAGGCCTTACAGAACTTACTGGCAATCTTCCGTCTCTCACAAATAAACTGGTAGTTGGCCAGGATCCAGCTGGTGACTCACTGTCCCTCTAAACCTTAGGTTTTTCTCTCTCTCTATTATCTCCTGACATCCCACCATGCCACTAGCATTGGTTAATAATTTGCCCCAGAGTGCTTTTCCTCTTCAGTGAATCTTCTCCGGGCCCTATCCTAGAATGCTTAGGGATCACTTTGATCACTTACAAAGTAACAAGACTTCCACAGAACAAACACTGCCCCCTCAATTCTAGGAAGACTGGCCATCCTTTCTCTAAATTAAAACCAGTAAGTCCATGTTGGCCATTTTAGCTGTCAACCACCATCTCCACTCTTCCCATCAATCTCCTAGGTGTTTTAAGACTTTCCCCTCTGCCAACTCCATATCTGCCATCCCTCCTCCTCCTCCTCCTCCTCCTCTGAGAATCTAAACTATTTTTTATTCCCACACCTTATTACCAGCAAAGCCTAGCACAGAGTTAGTACAGAGAGATTACTTGGGAATCTACATGGATATGTAAGAAGTTAATCACACAAGGTTTTAGGGTTGGGTCTGTTGTGTGAACACAGGAGATCAGGGGCTACCAACCTCGCAACACTAGCTACAGAAACCCCATTTTTTACACTGGCATATAACAGCTATAATAAATAAGCTTCATACCTTTGCAATATTCAACTGCCCCATGTGGGATGCTACTACTTTTCAGTATGATAAAAAATATGCCCAAGAAGATTGAATCCAAGTATATCTATTTCCAGCTATAAAGCAAAAAAAAAATAATCACATTTTCCATATAATTTTCATTAGGAGCTAACTCTCACTATTACAAAGAGAGACAGGATGCCCATATTCCAAAATTTCAGACTATAATAAATGCAAAGACAAATCCAGAGCAGCAGCATGTTGGGGTACATAGACAAAGGAGATAAAGGCTGTAAAAATATGTATTGAAACAAATCCTTCTAGCCCCTGGATTTCTATTCCCGTTGTTCCCTGATCTCTGTGGCACATGGAAGTTTGAGTATAATAACATTTCAGATTCCCAAAAGCATTATTCCTTATCAGTATTTTACAGTCCTGTATATGAAAAAGAGCTTTAGAAAAAAAAAGTTCAAGAATGAATAGAGCAATATATCATAGTTATTAACCATGCACAAGTGAAAAATAATTTTCTTGTAATGCAACATGATAAAGTTGTTCTGGATGCTATGCATTACTATTAATTTGAAAAAGCAAAAGGCATGCAGTTCCTTGGTTTGGGAAAATGGAGTTCTAAGAGAAATTACCAGATTTACTGAAGCCAACAAATCTTTTCCAGTCATTTGAGAAATTTCATCTAGTTTTCACTAAACAATGCCCAGCGAAATTGAGTTCTCCGATGTGGCAATACTAGATCTAAAGACAAATCTTTCTGCTCTTTCTCAGAATTTACAAATTGATAACCAAGTATATTTAAAGCACTTCTGCAAACTTCTTGCACTCTTTGTACTTTCTGAAATGAAAGAACATTTCTCCAAGCCTGGGAGACATTGACCGCATCTCGAGAAGTGATCTGGAAGGCTTCTCTTTTCTTACTTGGTCCTTGTCCATGTGTAATATTATAGATCCAATTCTCAAGTTTCTGGGTCAACAGAAGATCTGCAAATGCATACATTGCAGTAATTTCCATTAAAGGATCTCGCACAATGTCTTCAAATCGGATCAATAAGTAACGATCTTTTAAAAATAATGGAGGTTTCTGAGTAGCTGTTTCATAGATCTGAACATGGCTTCTGCAAATCTCCTGCAGGACTTTATATCCACTGTCATCCACTCTGCTGCCATTCACACCCAGAACAATTCCGTTGTCACGGGCAAGGGCTTTAACAGACTGTTCCCGAGACTTCACAACAGCCCTGGGGTCCCGGACCAGGTGGATGATTTTGAGGTTCAGAGAGGGATCAGCGAGGAGAGGGTAGAGCACCTTGAGGTCAAAGAAACGGACTTCCTTTAGGACAACATGGCTGTACGTCTTGCAGGCCTCTTCCACTTTGCTGAAGGGGTACTTGCCACAGAGAGTCTTGCAAGCGTTCTCACTGGTAATATCAGTCCGCTGGAAGAATTCACAAGCAGGAGTTGTGCATAACGCCCGGCTCACAGCCCACTGGAACAGATCGGACAAGTTTCTATTACTCTTCCAGGGCATATAGGCATCGAAGACAGACATGTCACACTTGAAGACAGACCGGATGAGATCCCGCACTGCCATGTGCAAAACCTTGGCACTGTTTTGGTACATGGCTGCCCACACGTGCCAGGCTGGCTCCATCAGGTAGAAGACATTGGGGTGCTGGCTGAAGAGTTGCCCCACAAAGGAAGATCCTGACCTCCAGGAGGAGAGGATAAGGACATGCACCTGGGTAGGCTTTTCCACGGAATGAGGAATGAAGCCACCTTGTTGAGTGTAGAGAAAGACCAGGAATCCTGTCTGGACTGCCAGGATAATTGCAATCGTGGCATTGGAAAGACGAAGCCTCAGCATCCTGGGTGAAGCCAAGTGCAGCTGGAATGATGGAGAGAAGGTGGTCGCCACTTTTTAAAGCACCAATTTTATAAAATTATGTTTCAAGTTTTACAAATTAAAGGTTGCTGACAAACTGTACAGAGAATCCCAGGTTACTGTGTCATTGTGTCCACACTGAAGAGAAAAAAGAAATATGTATGTGGTGTTAGATAAATTAGATAAGAATTCTGCTGCTCTAATTTATATGCATTATTTACTCTAGAAACAGTGCAAATATCTTTTCCTCTACCCAGCCTTAAGACTCACAGGGACAGAAAACCACCCCTCACTAATATGTGAGCAAACTTAAGGGTTTGCAGATCTGGTTTACTTTAACCCTAATAAAGCAAGTAAAGCACAGAAGCAAAATAATTGCTCTTTGGATACAAGAAGAAGATTTCTAAGTACTGTACATGACCAAAAGACTTCACAGTGTTTTTGCGCAAAAAACTTGCAGCAACTTCTTTTGAAGGCAGGGGACTCTGTTCCTGCTAGACGATTTGGGATCCGGAGCTCTGGGCTGCAGCCAGAGGCCCCGCCCGGCCCTGAAATTTAGCCT